AGTGATTATATACATTCGGGGAGCGGTTACTGTTGTGAGTAGCGTGAGAAATAATGGAAAAGGCAGAAAGCCAAAGCGTTTCTGGAAGGGACTTGTGTTCTTACATAAGTGTATTCTTGTGTGATCAATTATCTCATTAGTTTAAAGACTGTAGTGAATTTCCTATCTTTGAAGTAGTTTAGGTTAACGAGGGACAAGTGAACTCAACATAGAAGAAAAACGGGACAAAGAAGGGTATTATGGGAAGAAGAAGAGCAGGAGAAGACAAGGAGGAAGCTAATGGAGACCATGTGCAGAGGTTTAAGTGGGGGAAGGAACTGGACTGTTTTATGCACTTTCTGCAAACCTATATAGGAAACCTGCAGAAGTGTGTTTGATTGAATAACTGCAGCTGATCCGAGGTGGCGAGGGGAAAGCGTCAACATGGTGACTCTGGTTTTAACATGATTGAGGAGGAGTCCTGCAACTCGCGTGGCGGAGTTCTAAAAGGGATTACTGCCCCGCCTCAATCTCAGCTGCTGAATTATTCTTAAGCTAGAACTCGTCGGCTGGAAAACATGAAAAAACATGTTTGCGTGTGTCTGCATATAAACATGTATAGCCTAATACATATTATTCAGTATTAATCATTATTTATTTATGTTTATATTTATATAAATATGTATTGATAAGACAAGAGCGGTCCATTAGGCGTCTGTCCTTTTGTTATGTCTGTGAAAAACGGCCTGCTCTACGGAAGACGGGTCCTTCGAAGGCCACGAACATGGACAACCAGAAGAGAGAAGCTGTAGCCTCCGGCTAGCTGCCTAGCCTCCATCTCGGCGTTATGTTGCTTAGCAACCGTGACAACGTGAAGCACAGAGCAGCGAAGGAAAAAAAAGGACTCAAAGTTGTTGTTTTTACTCTTTATTTCTGTATTATTCTTCACCTTTTGTAATAAAGGTTGTTCCATAGTAAAAAGGAAACCTGTTTGTCTGATTATAAAATGTTTAAACACGTATCATTTGCCTCAGTCCTCGCGCGCACAAATGCTAAAGATGCATACCCTAAATTCGGACACAGCTGTTTTTTGTTCGACTCCCTCTACTGGTCTGGAGCACTTCCGTTTTCAGCACTTTTTGTTTGCATCTTGATTTTTGGTTTACATGTCTTTTTATGTTTGCTGCATTTCATTTGCTGTTGTATTCTTTTTGTTTGCGTCTCTTTTTTTGTTTGCATATTTTCTCTGTTGCTGCGCATTTGCACAGATAATGCCTTGTTCACACTAAATATTTGTGAGCAAAACTCATAAAATTTAATATCGGGTAAGAAATGTTAATGCAATTTGAAACAAGAACTAAATAACTACTTATTTAGTTAAGTTGCTAAAGAAGTAGTTATTTTAACTTGATATTGTGAGGAAAAAATAGAGAAATGTGTGCTCTTTAGGTGAGGGCAGTTTTTTTTCTTGCATATTGTCAAATAATTATTTCCTTTAAATTGCAGCATTTAGTTCAATCTCACAATTCAAGATTAATGAACGTTAGACAACATGTCTCCTGTTGTTAAATCAACTTCATGAACTAAATTTCTGAGTTAAAATCATAACTGTTTTCTTGTTGACTTGATTTCATTTACAAGGCAGCAGTTGGACTTTCATTTTAAGGTTAAACCAGCTTCAAATGTTTTACAGTGTGTAACTCGGAACATTTCCACTCTGTTTGGCTATTGTGCTCTAAAGACTGTGAAACAAGTAGAACTCGTAGATCCTGGATCCTAATACCAGAGAAAACAACACAAAAGATTAAGTAAGTAGAATGCCATAGTCTCTTCTTGTCACTGCATGCATCTTTGCAACTGAACTGCCAATCAGGTTTAATTCAATTGTTGAAGAAACTGAAAGAAGGTGACTGCTGCTCTGTTGCCAGCAGATCATGGAACAACACTAGTGACATCTGTATTTCCCAGAAACAGGCCCAGATAGGGAAGTCACAAGATGTAATTTAGCAGCATCTGTGGATGAATTTTCTATTTTTGCAGTCAAAAATACTTTAACTGCAAGTAGTTTGTAGCTATTGCGTTTGTTAACACAAAATAAATTTTAACATTTTTCTTTTCCCAGATTTTTCATTTTTATTTCTCGTAAATGCACATTGAGTGTTGAATGCATGGACTGATTGCTCGTGATAAACAAATGGTTGACGAAAGCATGCTCTGCCAGCTCAATGACTTTCATTGACAACCACAGGATTTTTTGGCAGCAATTTCATCCTTTCAGACGTGGCAGATGGCATCTCAATAAAGCTATTTACTACAAACTTATTTCAGTTTATCAGTAGCCACAACAACATGATCACCACCTCAGAAGAACAGGCTCAATGATGCCTGATTAGGAGGGAGCCCACCGCAGAGCAGGAACACACTATTCCAAAACAAAATGACAAAATAGCAACTGGAGACAGAGCGACTGGTGCCCCCACTAACGCCACCTCCCTGCTCTGCTCCCCTACTCCTTCATCAAAGTCCCAAAACATCTCTGAAGAAATGCCTTCACCTGGACTAAAGTTTTTCAAATTCATGGATGGAATAAATCAACAAGTTCTCCATGGTATTTTCCCTCTTAGTGCTCACATAGCAGACTTGATAGAAATCTGACATTGGGTTCCAGACAATAGTCTTACATCTATTTTTACACCGTGGATGAGATGGAGGTGTGTTACATCAATCTGGCTCTTGGGTGTTGGCTGTTTTGCTAAGGACTGTGAAACAAGTAGAACTCGTAGATCCTGGATCCTAATACCAGACAAAACAACACAAAAGATTAAGTAAGTAGAATGCCATAGTCTCTTCTTGTCACTGAATGCATCTTTGCAACTGAACTGCCAATCAGGTTTAATTCAATTGTTGAAGAAACTGAAAGAAGGTGACTGCTGCTCTGTTGCCAGCAGATCATGGAACAACACTAGTGACATCTGTATTTCCCAGAAACAGGCCCAGATAGGGAAGTCACAAGATTTCATTTAGCAGCATCTGTGGATGAAACTTTGTGAAGATGGTGTGAAGAATTTGTAAAAACTTAACTTTTTGATTATCTCAACCTGGAGTGGAGTTTTATCTGTGGATCAAATCAGATATAAAAAGGAGCACCACCACACAAAGCTCTGAAAGTTAGGATTATAATTTAGAAGTGAACCCTGCACTGGTAGGCAACCAAGGCAGCATCTTTAAAACAGCAGCTATGTTCATTCTTCTGAAAGTCAGTAGCCTCACTCCAATATTTGGACCACCTGAAGATGGGCAAGTTCCTTCTTATTAAAATAAATAAGCAGTCTGTTACAATAATCCAGTTGTAGAAACAAGTATGAAATATCATCTCAGGTTCCCTTACATAGGCGTAACTTCCTGAAGGACTGATGTGGACATGTTCCCTCTCCCCACCAACTCTGGCCTGACGGGGACCGTCCCCATCAATATTTCCTGCATCTTTTTTTCTTTATGTGCCTGCATTTATTTGCGGACAGTAACTCAGCAGCAGTTGCACGCTGTATTCAAAGTGTTAGGAGACAGTTAATGGTTTTTAAAATTAATATGTAAAAGGGTAAAATCATGCTCTAAAAACGTATTTTGTTATACTTATTTGAGGAATTCCAAGGTTTCTTTTATATTTTCTTTGTAAACTGTTTTTACGTTATATAATTCACAATAGAACTTTTCAATCACAGTTTTCATTTCTTCTGTGTTGTATACTATTTTCCCATTTTCTGTGTTTAGCTCAGAAAGAAAACTTGGATTATTTATTATTTTCTTAAAACTTTAGGGACTTTATCCTTTTTTTTCTTTCAGGAATATTTATTGATACTCAAACAGTTAAATTAACAGCACCACGTTTCAGAATAAAATACAATAATTTCCTTTAAATTAGACTAGAAAGACATCAAAAAGTGGGACATTTAAAAAGTCTATGTTCAAAAGTTGTGCAGGACCAGGATGGCTCCCATCAAGACTTGGGGCCATCCTGTTCTTCCAAGAAGCCCTGGTGCTCCTTCCCGCCTGCCTCACCTGGAGAGCCAGGCTGCTGCTGCTGGGAACTTCATCCAAATGGGTGCAGAGGCAATGCTTCTTTGTGGCTGTGTCCTTATTCTAAAACTGTCTTACGTCATACCCTCTATTGAAATGCAGGGTGAGGATACAATTCAGGTCAACTTCAGTTGAACTTCAGTGATTTTTCTTGAAAAATCTAATCTTGACGTTCCTGTTGACTTTCCTTTTCATTGAATTAAAACGAGCACTGTGGTGCCTCCAGCATGCCGGCATGGCTAGCTGCCATGCTGGAGGCACCACGAGGTAAAGGATAAAACCTTTACTAAAACCCGATAACTAAAACCAAATACAAAACTAAAAGGAATACATGTTTTCCACTATCCAGTGGTCAATAGCTCAACCAGGGACAAAGTTTAATAGATCTCTAAACAGTGGTAACAGCCAAGTCACAGTGACTATGAGTATCACCACCCATTGGAGAAAACCGCTGTTCTTAGCCAACAGGCTGAGAAGCTTTGAAAAAGAACAGCTATAGCAAAATGAACATTTGCCTTAGTGCACAAGTGTCACATCAATGTAACACACTTGCATCTCACTCACGGTGCAACACAGGATATAAAACCATGCCGCAAAGCGTTCTGGAAAATAATTCCCACTAGTCTTTTTCTTCTTTCAGTTTTTTAAGTGCTAAATTAAAAACTCGTTTATTCAACTCCTGGAAGTTTGACAAAATGAATAAAAAGTTAACTTACTACTCTAAGTTTATCTTTCACAAACTCACATTTAGGTTCAAAATCTAAAACTCACAAAAATAATTTGACAAAGAATAGAAGGTAGTGGACACAACTAAATTCAGCACAAATGTTTTACAGTGTACAATTTATAATGTCAAGGTGGCTTTGCTATTTAGTTTAATGTACAGCCAAACAAAATATATCAAGAAATTTTAGGTTTGCAATACTTAAATCACACAACATAACTTCATTTGTTTTTATGTTTTTTAATTTTCTTTAGGACACTGGTTATACGGTACAGTAGGGATTGATCAGCAAGGTATCCCACAATGCATTGGGCCACCAGCAGCAACGAGTTAAACCACTTTTTTATTTGTTACAAAAATCAGTTCTAAGATGTTTAAGGTGAAAACATAGATGCTAAAGCTTCATCTATGCAGCCACTTCATCAAGAACAAGACGCTGTGGTGGCACAGGGGCAAAGCACAGCCCACATATGGAGGCCTTAGCTCTCATGGTGGTGGTTGCAGGTTCAATTCCCAGCCTGGTGACATTTCCACATGTTTTCTCATTACCCTATGTCCTGCCAAGTTACTTTCAAATAAAGCCCACTAGAGCCAACAAAACCTTTTAAGAATGAGACACTTTCAGAGCAGTAGAGCTCTTATTGGCTAGTGTTTAGCATTTATATTTGCATACCTTAAACTGCACCATGAGTTATTTGTTGTATGCTCACTGTCAACCCACTCTGCCTGATCCTGAAGCCTTGCAAGTGATTAGGTTTTTCTATAATTTCTGTTTAATTTTAAGCAGAGTTTAATTGTATATAAGAGAAAAGTTAAAATTTTTGTATAACTTTGCAATATCATGTTAAAAATATCCCAAGCACCAATAAACTATTTTGAATGAAAAAAAAAAATAGTAAAGTTTAAGCAGAGACAAATAAAAGGTGGATGTACAACTTTCATATACTAACATTTCATGTTTTAAAAAAATGTGTTGATTTTTTTTAGACAACTTGTTTGCATAATTATGTTAGATTTTACAATGTACTTCCAAATTTTATTTACTACATTGAACAGTTTGGTAGTTTATACAAAGTTCAGTTTTGCTTAATCTACTTAAAGTTAAGTTCACTTTACTTGAATTTTATTTTTCATGTAAAGAAATAATGTACTTTAAACAAAGAACAGTCTTGATTGATCAACATGAATAGATTATGCAAATAGTTGCCTTCATTCCTTTAAGTAGAAAGAGCAGAATATTTTTAACAGTGTAAATTTTAAATGAAAAATTTATATAATTTGGTGTTAGATAATTTTTCACTAATATAAACAATGCCGCTACTTTGATTTTCATGCACATCCCCACAAACAGTTTTGTGGCTTCACAGTTTGTCAGCGTAGTCGTCTCCAAAGTCAACCATCAGCTTCAGAGCACTCAGGATCAGATCGTCGACGTCTGGATTCAGCTGAGTTTCATGACTGTAGTTCTTCACTGGGAGGATGCAGTTCATTGGAATCCCCAGCCTGGAGCTGAAGTCACCCATCTATACATAAAAAATAAATGTAAATTTACTTTGAGTTAGGTTTTGTTTCCTGTTAGAATAAATCTTTCTATGACTCACCTTTTTCTTTAAATATGTGCTCTTGTAGACGTTTCTCAGATTTTTTTGTGTTTCCCCACAGGCTGCATCAATGTGGGTGAGAATCGCCATCTGAGGGATTCCTGTGGATACAGAGAGTTTTCTTTTATTATATCTTAATATTGCATTAGCAATAAATATATTTTAACTGGTTTGTAAAATGAATTCTTCTCAGAATTTTTTTACAAGTGGCAAATACAACATCATGAAAAAAGGACTAAACTGCTACTTTAATTTCTTTTCTAAGCATTTTTTACTTCAACCTCTACTGTTAAAATAAAGTTTAAGTATTTTTGCTAACTTGTGTTTGCAGTTACATTGCTTTACTGGATGCAAGTTTTATTTTTATTTTTTTGTTTCTTACCCAGATCACTGGCTGCTTCTCTGATTTCCCTCATTTTCTTTAAAACATCCTGCTTCATTTCTGGTGCATTAGCGTCATAAATGCAGACCAGAACATGAACTCTGTCACTGATGGACGGGGAAGAGATGAAGCCAGGATCACCATGAGAAAGAGAAGATACAGGATTGAACTGTGGGGGGGAAAAGATAAAATTGCAATGAAAATGTATGTTTTACATAAAGTAAGCTAGCTGTTACAGCTTTAAAATTTAAGTCCATAAGGACAGATCTTTTAGGTGACTTGAATATGATTAAAATACACTACATGTACCTTATAACCATCCTTCACATGTCCCTTCAAGGCCAGTTTGATGTCGTCTGCTCTGACTCCTCTTCCATCTCCGTCCTCCAGACCCATGATGTCATTGAACACAAATGGATAGCTTTCTTTGCCTTTTTTAAATGTATGTGTTTTATACTGAGAGAAAAATGAAAAGGAGGTTAAGCTGTTTTAAAAGTAAACAGCTGACATATAGCTGCTAAAAATACATTTAAAAATTGAGAAGAGCAGCAGAAGTGCTTGAGAATACATATTTTAATTTTAAGCTTAAAGTTGTTTTTCGAAATAAAATTCTGAACATGTTGCTACATTAATCTTGGTGGAATAGTTCCTAATATGTCTCCCAGATAGCACATGATGATAATTCAGTATTGAATTATGGACAGAAAAGTTGATTGTTGGTTGAGGTTGAAGGTTGATTGTTTGATCAACCTTCAACCAATCATCAAATTCTAGTTATTTAACTAATGTTGAAAATATGTTATTGAATCAATGTTGTTTTGTGGTCGAATTCTAATGACTGAAGTGCCAACATCTAATCCAGTGTTTCTCAACCCTGGTCCTCAGCCCCCCCCCCTTCTTCTTCTTTTGATTTTTATTGGCGGCTGGCATCCAATTTAAGGTCATCAGAGATCTCAGAGGAAATTTAACACGCCTCAATGATGTGTAGGATGTGCAAATTCACATCTTAACACACCCATTAATACATGTATGAATGCATGAGCATGTACTGGCATACACACAAATACTTGTTCATATCCTAAATACGACTCATTAACCCAGTGTTATTTAAGAACCTAAATAAGAGATTTCTAACATAATTTGATTTATTATCTAATAGACTAATCATAGACAGTCCTATATTCTTTCTGCTTAGTAATGACTTTAAAAGCTGGCGTTCCTCTGAGTATTTATCACATTCTAACAAGACATGCTCCACTGTTTCCACCTGATTGCAATAATTACAAGCCCCATTCTCATGCTTTCCTATTTTAAAGAGCGAACTATTAAGTCCAGAATGTCCAATTCTAAGTCGAGACATAACTACTTCCTCTTTCCGCCTTCCACTCAGATAATTACTATCTCCCACACTCTTTTGAATTGTATATAGTTGTCTCCCATTATCATGGTTATCCCATAGCTCCTGCCAAATCTTAATCATTTCTTTTTGAATAATAGATTTACCCTCATTTTTACTTAAAGGAATATTCAGATGAACAATATCTGATTTCAAGGCCTGCTTAGCTAAAATATCTACTTCCTCATTTCCTTCTATACCTACATGAGCAGGAATCCAGACAAATTGAACCAAGCATTTATTGTTATGAAGATGAACTAATAATTGATATATTCTTAATATCAAATCTAATCTGCAAGATTTGCCAGATTTAATACTTAATAATGCTGCTCGACTATCTGATGCTATAATAAATGTACTTTCTTCCCTAGTATCATTATCAAGCAACCATTCTAAGGCTAAAATAATGGCTGATAATTCAACTGTAGAAACACCTAAATGCTCAGCTGTTCTCCTCTTAATCAAGACTTTATGGTGTGGGATATCCACTGCTGCCCCAGTTCTACCACTACTTGGATCTTTAGATCCATCTGTATATATAACTATGTTGTCTTTATCTTTCAAAATATCTATTAACTACAACCCACTCTGGAGTCTTACCCTTTTCAAAAATTTCCCTTAATTGAAAATCAACTTCTGGAGATATAAATAACCATGGAGGAATTTCAGATTGAGGAACTGTAGCACTGTACTGGAGTAAAGTTAAACCAAGATGTTTTGTCTTTATATCCCCAATCCATCCAAAACTATTACAATTTAATTTATGATGTTCCCAACATTCCTTCAGCACCATCTTAGCTGGATGATCATACTTATGTCCTTGTAGGTTCACCCAGTACATATACATTAGTTTCAACCTTCTTAATCATAAAGGAAGCTCACCAGTTTCTACTTGTAGAGCAGCTAAAGATGATGTTCTGAAAGCTCCACAACAAATTCTCAATCCTTGTGTTTGCTACCTATCAAGCTTTCTCAGATGACTGTCAGCAGCTGCCATATATGATATACTCCCATAATCCAGAGTAGATCTCATTAGAGCCTGATAGACTCCCAACAGTGCACTTCTTGAAGCTCCCCATTCCTGTCCAGAGAGACATCTCAACAAATTATTCACTTTTTTACATTTATTTTGAACTGATTCTATTTGATGTTTCCAAGTTAAGCTTTCATTAAAGATGACACCTAAAAACTTCACCGTTTTCACTTGTTCAAGCTTTTGTTTATAAAGGTACAACTTGACTTCCTTATGTCTTCTATAAAACCAAACAGCCAATTTGCTGCTGCTTATTTGCAGCTGGCTGCTGAATTGAATTCTCTTCTGAGCACTTTTATGGTAAGTTTGGCAATATTACTTTGATCTTAAATGTGTTTATTTAAAAATAACTGTGTTGTTTTGTTTTGTACATTGTAATCCTGGTTATTTTGGGCCAAACCAGATATTTTTAATAATTGGGGTTATGTCTCCTTTTGTATTTTTTTATCCTACCCACTACTCTAGGCCTAAGTATGAAATCCCATGAAATTTTGTGGGATCTGAGTTTTTAAAAATCGGGCAAGGCCTATTGTTTGGTCTGGGAGAGCATGTGGTGGACAAGGAAATGTAAGGCTGGCTGCTCCAAGTGGGCTTTAAATCGTTTCAAATCACTTTTTAACTTTTTATTATGATGTGCTTAGGGACGTGCTTAGATGAGCCTCTGTTCCAGAACAGCTGAGTTAGATGATTGCATGACCGTCTGCAGCCATCAAGAAGTGCAGAAGGTTGTTAATCATCCACAGATTCAATCCAGGTGAGGCAGAAAGGAAACACTTAAAACATGTAAGGCAGGTGAAACACTGAACTAAACCTGCTAATGACTGATTCAGTCTGTTGATTCTTGGATTGGTAACTGGAACTGGACTATTATTTATCAGCATATAGACACTTTTTAAGGAATTTAATCAACTTATTTGGAAATATTTGTAGTTGATGGAAGATTGAACCAGCTATTTGATGGAAGTTTATTCTGTATAAATTATAATTTTTCCAACTACACTATAAATCACCTTTTGTTTGATTTATTTGTCTCTGGTGTGTTAAATAAACCTGATCCTCCCTGAGTTTTATTGTTAGGTTTTCTGATAAACAGCCCTTTATTTTAAATATTGATTTAATATCAATATCATAAATCCTACACTATTCTGCAGCTTAATGGGTAGTTGTATATGTAAACATTAAGATAAATATTAATGAAAGATTAAGATATTAATTTAACAGTGAGTGTACATTGGGAACTATATGGTTTGTATTTGTTCTCAGACCTGTAACCAGTACACTGTTTAATCTTTCAATGTCTTTCAGAACTTTTCAAATGTTTATCATATTTCTAACTGGCACCTTCCTCACTTTTATTTTTGTGTTTTTCAGCTGTTGCTCTGCAGTTTGACCGAAAGCTGACTCTTGCGGACTGCAGCAAAACTGTCAAGAAGTGGCTTCATTATGCGCCAGAACGAGAGGAAGACATCACAAGAAATCAAAGTGACGCCAACCAGAGTCAAACTGGGGTTACTG